TTTTTATAAAAAATAAAAAAATAATTAGAATTTTTATTTATGATACTCTAAGAATAATTTAAATATTTTTTATAAAAAATAAAAAAATAATTAATTATGATTTATGTTTATGATACTTTAAAGGTAATTTAAATATTTTTTATAACAATAAAAAAAATTATAAAAAATATAATTAGTATTTTTGTTCATTGTGCTTCAAAAATAGTTTAAAATTTTTATATAAAAATAAAAAATAATTATAAAGGATAAGGTTGCCAAAACCAAGACTTTGAAGTTTGCTAGGCCACTAGATCTAAGGTTTTTGAACTTAACATGCTTGCCAAATTCTATATTTTTTTTAGTCTATTTGATAGCTAGACTAGATAGCCTATAAAAAATAAAAAATAATTAATATTTATGTTCAAGATAACTTCAAGGTTAGTTTAAAAAAAATTTATGAATTTTTTTTAAGATACTTTAAAAATAATTTAAATTTTTTTATAAAAACAAAAAAAATTACAAAAAAATAATAATTATTTATGTTTACAATACTTCATATAGTTTAAATTTTTTTATATAAAAAAAAATTATAAAAAAAATTATTTAGAATACTTCAAGGCCAATTTTTATATATATATATATTATAAAAAAATAATTAACCAGCATTTATGTTTATAAAACTTCAATGGTAATTTAATTTTTTTATTTATAAAAAATAAAAATAATTTTTTTAAAAAAAAAAATTATTTAGAATTTATATTAAAAATACTTCAATAATTATTTAAATGTTGTCGCCGCTAGACCCAATAGATTTAGGCTTGTCATAACTACTAAATCTAAAACATTTAAAACATTTTTTATATTCTTTATATTTTTTTATATTTTACAAAAATTACTATTAATCTGTTACAAAGCATGGATCAATATATCAAGATATGTGTATTATGTGATAGATGTAAGAAAATAACCTCTTAGGATATGACTTACATAATAGGATTTTTTTTTTCATCGGTGTTTTTAAACTGATATTAACCTTATAAAAAAAAAAAGAGCATTACTAAATTAAGATCTTTAATTGTTTATGTATTTATTAAATTTAATTTTTGAAATTAAACTAAATAAATATAATGAGACATGGAATAAAAATAACAACAAAAATAACAACGATCTAATTCATTATTTTTATTTTATATTTTCATCTATTCTACAATTGAATTCAAAACCAATTATAAAATGTACAACATGACTGAGTTTTATTTTAAAAACACATAAAAAAAATCAAATGACAAGCATTCATGAAAAAAAAAATAATTTCCATGCTCGTTGACAATCTTGTCCATACATGTCATGAATATCAGTATTGGTATAAAAGCTAATTCAAGGATTGATGACGAGGAGAAAAGGCATCAAAAGAGTATATTTATGAACCCAAGTGATCTCGTGCATCATTCAGTATCATATTATTAAAATAAAATCACACATTACCAAGTCAAGGACGGATCTCATCTAACCACGTGTAATCAAATCAAAGTATTTATCATTGGATTATTGGTGTTATCAAGCATATCTCGGCTTCTGCAAATTCTTTTTTTTAGATTAACGTGGGTATCCGGACCAACATGTGTACACCACAACTAATCCCACGAGCCCTGAAGTTAACGACCATGTAAGCCTCCAGTAGCCATCATATGAGCAAACCAAGGACTCGAACATGAGACCACAGAGAGAACAAACCCCTTGGTCTCAAGTCTTTACCACTTGACCACCACCTAAATAATTAGCTTATGCAAATTCTTAGATCCAGAGGTAGTGGTTCAAAGGTGAATTTATTTATTTATTTTATAGGATTCATGCAAAAACAATACTTAAAAAACATATATTTTTAATTTTTGAGAATATAGTTTATGTTTTAAAAAGATTATACCTTTGAAGAAAAACAACCACACCACTTACTGAAACACACTTTTAAACCTTTTTTAAATCAAGTTTTATATTAGACCAAATAAAAATTAATTAAGTCAGGCTCAATCAACATAACAAGTCAACTTATTATTATTATTATCATAATAATTTGATTTTAATTTTTTTTCAGACAATACTATTTTAAACAAAATTTGAATAATCACTAACTATAAACATACGAAGCAAAAGTTTTTATATTACTTTGGTTTATTTTTATGTTTTAAAAATATTTGTGAAAAAATTTAATTTTTTAATTTTTTATTTTAAATTAATATTATTTTAACATTTTTAAATTATTTAAAAATATTAATATTAAAAATAATTTTTTAAAAATAAAAAAATATTATTTTACTATATATTTTTTAATAAAAAAATATTTAAAAAAACAATCAACTATTTTAGCTCAAGCGCTTAAAAAAAGCAACTTTAGCTCATGTCCTTAAAAAATAAAAAAATCTTTCATTTGTGTTGCCGAGATTATTCCCTGCATATTAGGTCACAACGAGTAAACAACAATACGGTACCTTTCTTTTATTATGGTTATTATTTAAAGTGGGCCCCAGCACGCTTAAATTATGTGAGGTGAGGATTCTTCTAGTCCATGTCTCCCGAGACAAATTTCGAGGGACTCGAGGAGGAAATCAACGGTCACAATCTCCTCAGCGGCTATTTCAAAATATCATAATCGGACGGTCCAAAATACATCGGCGGTTGCCGCCCTACAGTGTTCTCGGTCTTTGGAGGTTACCGACCGCAACAGTGTCGGTTCCGAGGAGTGATCGTGACATTTTTATTAAAATACAAAAACAAATGTTACAAAATTATAAAAAAGACAAACCTCCTATCGGTCCTCCAATCATATATAGTTTATTGATTAAGTCTTCATATTGTCAGTTGTTTTCAAATGGGTCCCTGTATGTACTTTATTTTTCAATCAACTCCTCTTTACTAAAATAATTGGATCCGATGTCGAATAATGCAAACGATGACCTTAGTTTCCTAGGGTCTTACATGCAAAAGTATCCGATTTTACACAAATTTTTGTATTTATTGAGAGGGAAATGTGCACCTCTTCACTTCCAAGAATAGGAAAAATTAGGATTAATTAGAAAACAAGTGACCAACTTGTGCGTTTTCTAACACTAGCTATACATTATTTTAACGAATGATCTGACCATGGAAAGGTATTTGGACGAGGGGATGCAAATAATAAAAATGGTATTAGTGGATTAATTGAGAAATCACATATAGTTAGAGGATTAATATGATATTGTTCCAAAAAATAAAAAAATAAATAGCCGTTCCTGGCTCGCGTCCTATAAAATGACGTACCACCACACGAAGGTTCGTGAAATTAGCAAACTAGAAAATATCAATCTCCTCCAATTCCAAGAGGGATTCTTCAGGATCCGTTGAGGAATATCAAACACTAACATTTTTTTCAGTTCTCTTCACGAGAACAAAGTTTGTTTCGATTTATAGCCCTCTTAATCTATCAAGGGTCTTTCTTGTTTGAGAATTTCTAGGAAATCTCGAAGAGAATCTCATGTTATTATATCGATCCTTCTTTATTTTATCGTTTTAAACTTCGTAAATTTTCTATAATTACCGAATCATTTCATCTCTTCTTCTTTGTTACTAAAATTTTTGCAACTTTCTCGAGAAAATCAGCAGCAATTTCGATCCCCCTTTGTTAAATAGATAAAAAAGGAGTTTTCATCAGGTTATTGATCGTGTTATTTGAAAGATCATTGCCCTCTTTGTTTCTTTCTTGTTTTAATTTGTGGATATCTTTTGTCATCTTTTGATCATTAACAAAACTAGAGAATTTGAAATTACGGAGGCAATTTTTGCACCATCAACGGCAGATCATCATCAATCTATCTCTCCATACAAGCAAATGAAAAACCCAAATCCAACGAAGAAGATCAATCATACTAGTCGCAGTTTCATTTCAAGATCCACGGAAAACTTGCCTCCTATGAACTATTATAACAGCAACAGCATCCACGGAGGCCTCTTCTTTGCTCCTCCTCGTGATCCCCTCTCCTTTTCCTACCCTCCATCTTCTCTTTCAGTTTTAAATCCACACCAACAATATTATTATCAGAAGCAAGCCCAGCCACCTCTCCTTCCTCTTCCAACCTCTCAACCCCGCCACAACTCTCTCCCTTCTCTAAGCCGGGGCTTTTCTTGCCCACCTACCGCTGCAAGAAAGACTAATAGACCCAGAGACCAATCTTTCACACCAAAGAAATCCAAACAACCCAACACCAAAAAGGAAGAGCCAAAGAAAGAATCGTTGATTATTGAATCTACTGTACCATTAGGACCTGACCCAAAAGATTTGCCAAGAGATGTTTCAAAGGTTTTATCATCATCAGTGACAGTGTCAGGTAACGATGTTATCACAAATCCCGTTTTTACGAAAGATTGTGATCCGAAGTTTCCAGGTTCTGTGTTTACACTATCTCCACACCCTAGCAGCCTGCCCTTGCCCAAGTTTTCCATGAAACCAAAGCGTAGTTGCACCGCTGAAGCTTCCGGGGTTGATGCTGGAGCTACAGATAATCTCCGTCGACTTTTACGTATCCGGTGAAGTGAAGTTATTTCCTTGCTGGCTATAACTGTGTAGCTGGTGAAAGTGAAGGTTAATCTTTAATTTCTGTGTACATAAAAAGCAAAGCCGAGAGATCGTGCTTTGCACGTTGTAGCCTTTTCTCGCTGTTGTCCTTGCGGTTTTTCATGTTCTAGCAATCGAAGAAAAGTTTGTGATCACCACCTGCGTTTTTGAATTGGGGTGCACAAACAGTACTTTACAAGAGTAAAGAAGCTGGGTAGCTGTTTATTTTTTTCCTCATGTCTAGAGGGGGTGGGGTTATGAAATCCTCCTCTTGTCGTGTCAGCAATATTACATGATCTGTAGCTTTGTTTTTCTACGTGAAAGTGCATCTATTTTGTTTTTCTATACTATTTTTCAAGAAATCTAATGTGAAGAAACAAGGAATTTTGTGTTTTTTTGTGTCAGAAACAATGAATTGAAGTACTAGGAGATTGGATTATCGTTTTTTCCCCTTGTTACAACGGCCGAGTTCCATTCACTGGTGGTTGTCACTTCGCACACATTGCAATATTGGTGTTCTCCATGCACGCAAGATCCAGTCGCTCGAAACATTCTGATCATATTCATCAAGGTAGTTTGGCCTGGTATAATGCCCAAGTTACAGTTCTGCTAATTTCGTCAAACCATATCATTTTTAAAAAAAATTAAAATTAATTTGGATTAGATTATAAATTAATAATTACCAGTTCAATTTATAAAGAGATCGAATTTAACAATTATGATGAAATTATTGGATTTTACGGGAATTAGAACACAAACATGCAGGAGCGCTTGTCTTCTTAATATTCACGCGCGGAATGACAACAATAATATCGTGTATTTTTTAACAGTGAAGAGTTAGGAGAAAAGGGTTTCGAAGTCCAAAATTCTTTTCTTTGGGCTGCTCAATTCCTCCTTTAAAGTATAGTTTATGACTAGACACACTGAACAAATTGTTTTTACATAAAACAAATACTATGCTAAAAAAAAAAATTAAGTCCCAGTTCATCAAGTGCTAATTTAAATGCTATAAAAAAAAACCAGCTTAAAAAAATATAAAACAAATCTGAATAAAACTTTTAAACTTAGTTTAATTTTTAGAATATGCAAATTTTAGATTTGAATTTAATCAGTAAACTCAACTCTTAAAAAAATTAATTTTAAATAATAAAATCATAAAAATATATTAATAAAAAATACTTGCATAAGAAAAACAATAAAAAACCCTTGAATGAGATAAGAGTTCATTAGTTTTGCTTTTAAAGAAATGAAAGTAAATATTATACTATTTAAAAAAAATATTATTGAGTAGTAGGCATTAGCTTATTTAATTTCAGGGTTAAATAAATAATTTTTTTGTATATTAAAAATAAAATTACTAAACTAGCCTCATATAATTCATAAAAATTAATTGTATTTAGGTGAAAAGAGTACCTTAATTCAGATCAAAGTTTTAATATTATATTTTTTTTTATTATTATAAAGGTAAAACATAAACTTCATACCTGCAAAGAATACATTAAGCTACGAGAACATGCTTCTTGATTTCGGTTATCCCTACAAATTGCCAATTAAGCTACTGAATTTTTATGAGTAAATTAATTGGAAAATCCATTGGAATAACTATGGATCCATGATCGTAAACTTTTATCTAATAATCATGTTGGTCCCTTTATTTTGCATATATATCCACTCAAATAAAACCCTCTAATTAAAATTGATGAAATCAACCTTTCCAGTCTTAATTACAAGCAATTTGAGATACAATGTCTAATTTACCATCACAAATTCCTTGTTTAATTAGTAACATAAGTACATGAAAGAGCTCAAATTTCATTTAATTAGAGGCAAGAGATAAATGGGTTTTAACTTTGGAAGTGTTTGAGAGTGTGATAGTTTATGCTTTTAGATGTATTTTCCTTTAAAAAATATCAAATTAATATTTTTTTTTGATAATTTTAATATCCTAATGTTAAAAATAAAAAACAATAATTATCCGGTAAAAAGTTCACTCATATTGGGCTGTTATTTGGTCTAGGATTGGGCTTTTAAGGCCTATAGCCGAATACGTGACAGCTTCAGGGCCGAGTGAGTTCAAATCCAAAGTTATCTTCCCTGCTGATCATTACTGTCATCTGAGCCTCTGCATGTATGAACGATGGTGCAGTTCTGATTTCTCGAGTGTATAAATGAGTTGATTCAAGACATTAATGCGTATATGTTTTGTTGTATGGGCAGTAGGGTGCGAAATTATCTCCTCTGGCAGCAGGTAAATAATAGAAAACTATTAATGTCATGGATCGGGACTTGAATTTTACTATTTTTTGCTGTCATGATTGTCATTACACCTTCAGAAACTGGTAGTTGAAACTTTAATGCTTCTTGTATCTGTTTTGGGAATTCTCTATTCTGTTCAGTTCATTTTGGCTGTGAAAGGAAATGGAGTCCATAGTTTACGACCTTATGCAGGCTTGTCTAATTATCAGAGTATGTTTAAAAATATGATTATAGTTAGTTTTTAAAATATTTTTTATTTAGAAATATATTAAAATAATATTTTTTTTATTTTTTTAAAATTATTTTTAATATTAGTATATCAAAATGATCTAAAAATACTAAAAAAATAAACTGGTTTCTCGGCATGATTTTTTACATGAAAAAAATATTAAATATAAATGAAAAATTATTTATATATTTAATCAAATAAATTGAGAATCATTTATATTAATAAATAAAAAGTCATTAATAATAATTAAATATGAATCTGGAAAGTTAAGAGATGAATATAGATCAAGATGTTTGATCTTGCAATATAGACTATTTACACAATAGTATTTGATGATTTTATTTATTTATTTATTATTTAATCAAATGATAGTAGTAGAGATAAATTCACACAAAATTAATTGAATAAAATTAAAAAAATATCTCATAAGGCTGCATTTATTAGAAATAATACCCAAACATAATTATTTTTTAAGAATAAATTTCAAATATATAAAACATAAAAAAATATAATTGAATTAGAATTATTTATTTAAAAATTAAACACATAAGTGGAATCCAACAATCTCTCATTTGTTTCTCAAGTTAGGGATTAAAAAAATATATTTCATACCAAAATTGATTTTTTAAAATTTAAAGAAACTTAAATTGTATAAGTTTTATTGTTTTTAAAGATGGAGGGCTTAAGTGTATTTTCCACCAAAAATCTGGAATGCCATCCATTAGTGGAGCCCTTTTTATTTGGTACATCTTCTTTCAATTTCATCTTTACTTGAGAAATAAAAAACAATTGGTTTTCAATTAGGATCAAATTGCTAAAAATGAAGCTTTAAGGATCAAAATAAATTAATAAAAATAAACACTGAGATCATATAAATTATGAGTGTATGAATAATGTTTATCTATAGTAATAATACCGCACCTTTTAGAGTTTTCTTAAAAAAAAATCAAAATTTTAGCACAATTTCATTGATTTACATAAAAAAATTGATAATACAGAAAAAAAAAAAGAGAGAGGCATGTCACTACTCTATTGGGCCATAGTTCAACCAAACATTTTTTTTGCTCGATTAGGCCACAATCCAAATGAGCTATCCTTCCTTGTCTCTTCTTCTTTTCTCTCACTTTCCTTAGTCAAACCAACTAAACTCCATAAAAATTGGTTAGGTCAAGGCTCAATCACGTTTAAGCTTCAATTTGACCAAGTTAGCTCACTTCTGTTTACTATTTATTATTATTTATGAATAATATAATTTTACTTGTATTGTTTAAATATTTTTTAATGTTATATATTCTCAGGTCTTGGGAAGAAAAAAAAGATGATTGATCCGAACAATACTACACTTAACATTTCTTCATTATACAAAAAGCACACTCAACAAGAAAAAGAGCAGGCATATCTCTTCCGTGCATATAATTAGAAACATATTTAATCCTTTTAATTTTTTATGTATTTATCATTTGATTAAACAAACTCAAATATTTACTTAAAAATCAAAGTATCTCTTGTTCTATGAGAAACTTATTTTGCAAGACAACACAAGCCTAAAACTTGCCAAGAAGAGAGTTATTTGGCAAAGTTTTTCCACAACTTTATCATAAATAATAATATAAGATGGTCAAATTTGACATCATATCCAAGGAAAGAAAATGGGCATCTTCTTATGCAGGATAGTTTTGAATCAATTTTGCTTAGGTCTGTTTAAAATTATGGTTACGGTTGTAGTTCAAAGTGCTTTTCATTTAAAAATATATCAAAATTATCGTAGAGGTGCGAGCGCCACGACATCATCTTGGCGACGATGAAGGCTCTTATCGTGCTTCCTTTGTGAGGTGTTGTGTATTGGAAAGGGTTTTGGATTTAATCATAAAATTATGATTAATGTTTAGGAGTCGCCAACTAGTATTATGGTTACTGGGAACCTATGGTATGCAAGAGTCTAAGTAAGGGATTGATTGTGTAGGAGGAAGATGCATCACTCCCAGTGCACCCTACCTAGGGTAAGCTGCATTGTTGTTTGATTATTTTTTTCTAAGTTGAGTTTCAATTCGTTAATCTTTTCTAAGGTTCAATGCAGATCTTTTATCATGATAGAGTCTTTACCTTAAACCTTATAAAAATCTCTTTATGAGAGACTTTCAACATCGTATTTATTTGCACCTTGTATCTTTAATACCTAAGAGTGTATTTTATCGGATAATTTTATACCCCATAAATATTAAAGTCTACATCTGGATCCTAGAAAAAAAAGATTGGAAAAATATTTTTGATATTTTGGCCAAACCATAATGGATTATCATAAACTGGTTATGATATCTTTTTTTTTTGGGTATTTTAAAAACATGAGAAAGACATAATTTTTTTAAATGAAAACATGTTTGGAAATTTTTTTGGATTTGACCGTATGCATAAAAATTATTTTTTTGAAAGGAAAAATTAATTTAAAAGTTTTTGAGATTTTTTTAAAAATGTTTTGAATTTTTTTAAAATATTTTAGAGAAAATCGGGTATATTAATATTGGATTTGTATTTTACAGTATAAATATACAACCCAATATTATGCAAAATTGGTTGAAAAATATTTGAGAAAATCACAATTTTTTTCAACAAATTTTTATTTTTTTCAAAAAAAATATAATATAATATTAATTAATTATTATTAAAATATGTGGGCCAGGCCGACCCAGATAATTAGACGAGGCATAAACCCAAAAAATAGTGGGTCGATATCGGCCCAAAATAGTTGGGCTAATCATGGCCCCAACATATTTTCTCTCTCTCTTTTTTTAGGCTTGGCCATGCTTGACTGATTGGGCTGGGCCAGAATTGGCCTTGCCCAAATAAAAAGTGAATTATTCTGCCGCTACATGCATAAATAAATTATGCATGCAGTAGCCTCAATGAAAACAAAGGAGGTCAAGTAGGGAGAAGAAGAAGTTGTTGTCACTAGCCTA